CGGCGAAACACGCAACAATGGTTGATCAGAAAAAACTTGACCTGTATTGTATTATATCATTTCGGTTTACAAAGACACGGTTTCCTTTTCTTCTTTTTTTTAATTTAAACTTCGGTCTTTTTCACCTTTTTTTTTGTTTTAAATATAAGTGTTTGCGTGCAATTGAATGGTTTTAAGCCGTTGGATCTGTTACGACCGACGTTATTGTGACGTTACTGTTTTATGATCGAACGGCTAATTATGGGTAAGGGTATATGCGTAATATAATGGGATTTGTGAGGTTAGAAGAGTAAAAGTCAAAGTCAGTTTTCCATTTTCCCGGCAGGTCCACTGGTCTCCTTTTATTTTATTTTGTGCCCATAGTCCATTGTTTTGTTTTAGACAAATTTAATATTTTTCCATTGTTTTTCTTTTGTTTAGATATATATATTTTTTAAACTAAGCTGATATTAGAAAAGTCAGAATTTCCCATTTTTGTAAAGGTCAATTTGGTAGATAACTCAAAAACAAAATATATTTTAAAATCTAACAAAATATCCTAAATTTAATGGGTGAAAATTAGTCACATAAGGGTATTTTGTTAGATTTTAAAATATTTTTTTTTGGGTTATCTAACCCAATTTCCCTTTTTGTAACACTATTTTTTTTTTAATATGGTCTGGTCTGACTTTGATTTTCCGTTAAGAAATTCTAATTATGTAGATAATGAGAAAAAGATTGTATTGATTATTTGGTTTGTTTAACTTTAAGCAATAATTATTTTTTGACCAAAAAAAAAGAAAGCAATAATTATTTGGTTTTCTTAATTCACCCTTTATATTCACACAATTTAAAAAAAAAAAAATTCGTTACAGTTATGTCCCCCACAATTTCATTTTTTTACTTTCTTTTAATTTATAATAATAGAATGCAAATATATAAAGAAAACAAAAGTATTGATTGGTTTGGTTTGTTTAAGCAATAATTAAGGTGAACTTATTGTTGAATATGTCTTCGAGCTTACGCCTTACGGGTTGATTTAGTTTTAAAAATGAATAATTCTCTCTTTTTTTTTAAGGGAAATTGGGTTGTATAAACAAAAAAAAAAACTCCATACTATCAACAAAAAGGATATATCTGCCAAAACAAATGGGAAAAAAAAAACAATACATTTACAATATACAAAATAATTGGTCTAGTCAGACATGACAATCAATGTCTTCTTTTAAGCAAAACCACGAATAAGTTTATAGATGATGCTTAGATCATCTTCCACCATGATTCATAAATCATAACCATCGTGAATTTGTGATTAATTAGAAACCCTTTATGACTATATTTTAATCTATTTTTTTCTAATTATGTTAAGTTTCAAATGGAAGTATTATGAGACCTACAAATATGAGTTCATGGTTTACACATTCCCTACGTACCCTACCCATCTCTAATTGTCAGGAAATCATGTTGTTTTCATTTTTCAGAACCAAACATCTTGCTGTTTCTTTTCCACGAGAGCCAATCCTGCCTTTCTGAACAAAAGCTAAAAGCATAGAATAAAGCCAAGAAGATGGTGCCAAAAAGATTATGCTTATAGCTTATGAGCTTTAGCTATTACTGATCAGTAGAACCAACTATGAAGTCAGAAGTTAACTTGAGTATATAACTTGAAGTTGTTATGAATGAAGAATAGTTTACCTTCCATTTTCATTGGTTAACCAAACACAGAATCTTTCTGTAACATCAAATCACTTAATTAGCTTTTCATGATGAAGCAAAGGACTAAGAGATATAGCCAAAGCATGGTTTGGATACTACAAAATATTGCAAAGAAGCTAGGATGCTCACAATACTTCTTTTTGGGAGATTAGTATCATAACCAATAATTTTTTTTTTGTTTTCATAAGAAAACCATAAGTAGATCAATACAAAACAATGAAAACAGCCAACCATTAAACAACACAAGATTGTTCTGGAAAATCTCAATTAGGGTTCATGTAATCACTACTCCTTTTTGTTTTTCCATATCATAACAAGCGAGCAACCCATCAGAGACATAACCACTGTCTGCAAAACATAACGAAATTATATCTCCAATTAAAACAAAAACATTGTTAAGAATGAGCAAATAGATGTAACAAAACGAGGTGGTTTAGTGAACGTACAGAAATTGCTGGAGGCACACCAACGAGAGGATCTTGAAAGAACTTTGTCGCGAGAGCCAAAGCAAGAAGACTACTTTGCATTCCTGTCTCATATGATAATGTTCTTTGTAGGGCTTTTACATCAGGTGCCTTGCTAAAGAAGAAACCAGCGAAAAAGTAACCCGCGACAAAAGCCAATAGATGAAACGTGACAACGAGGAACAGAATGGTTGCGCCGAATGGAGACAAGATTGAGTCGATGTTCATAGAGATGGGTGCTCCCATGCAACAAGCCATGTCGATAAGTGTTAACGCAGGAAGAAATGGTTTGATTGCATTAGACAACCTTGGAAATAACCTGTAGTCACATTTCTAACGTAACGTTAGTGTTTTATCTGGATTAATCGATCATATCCTATATCTCCCCAAACCAAACCGGTATAGTCGATCTAAAACTGAGTCTGAACCGGACTTAAAAAATTGAATTCATAGCAGACTATTCCATACTAGATTATGATTTAATTTCTTTGGTACTTCATTTTATCATATAAAGCTTGATATGTTTACTTTGTAATTAACACAGTCATGACATGTGTTAGAAAATCAATCACATTTCCACGCGACATTTCTAATTGAAGTATTTTCTGTAGTAAGGTGGTGTCTCACCGGTTTAGAAGCAATCCTGCAGCAATAGGTGTAATAACAACTTGGAGAATGCTAGAGACCATCCCAAACACATCAATAGGAAGCTTTTTGCCAATGAGCAAGAGAGAAAGCATTGGCGTAACAAGGACCGCGGTAGCAGTAGATATCGAAGTCATGACGATGCTAATCGGTGCGAGTGAAGGATCCGTCAAGAAAGTAGTGTAACTAGATAGCTGAGCTCCACTAACACATGATACCAACATGATTCCAGCACCTATAGGAGTAGGTAAATGGAAAAGAGAGACAGCGATTACGCCGATAATGTAACCTAAGATAGGTTTAATCAAGTATTGTCCGATGTACCCCGCGAAAATAGCATCTGGTCTTTTAAGAGCTTCAAGAAAGTCTCTTTCGTTAGAGTTGATTCCAACAGCAAACATCATGAAACCTAAGGCAGGCACAAAGTACCTAAAGAAGGATTCATATAGTAACTAGATCAGATTCTTATATCTAGTTAAAAAGCTTACGAAATCGATCAATTTAGTAATTAGTTTGTTGATGTAAACCTTGGTTTAAACCATGTGAAAGAACGTGGATAAAGAAGAGCTAAGATTGCACTTGAGAGAACTGTATGAGGAATAAAAGAGTTTGCTTGCTTTAATGTTTCCATTATAGAAACTTTCTTATGGTAGATCTGAAAACCAAACAGAAAATTGTTAATTGTTATTTGCCAAAGAAAAAAGCGCGATTTTTCTCGATTGTGTTTTACCTCGTTTGCGTCAGATTCTGAAACATATCTCCTCCATGAAAAACTCGACCTCCCATCTTTGGATTATAGAACACGGCAAAACCAAGAATCAAGAAACTGAATTTGCTTCAACCGCAAGAAATCGAAAAACAGAGTTTGCGAAATTTTACTTACTTTGCGAAATCGAGTTAGTTTGTAGTGGGAAGCCTACAGAGCATGATCCTGCAAGAGAACCCAACTCATCAAAAACAAGATTTGAAGACTTATATTACATTTTTTAAAATGGTTACTTTCTCATAAACGTAGCTTTTAAGAAAATGGTGCAAACAGAGGAGAAAGAAGTGAAACCTAGAGAAGAAGAACATGAGAAATTTGCAACTCGTCGAGTTTTGTGAGAAACCACAGGGTAGGAATAGCCTCGAGGTTGAAGAAGACGATGTTGAGACTTTAAGAAGATAGTCTCAATCGGAGATATCACGACCATTTTTATGTTTTTACTTGTTTTGATGGATCTTGTTCTTTGTTGGAATTTTTTTTTTTTGTTTTGAGAAAAATCTTTGTTGGATCTTCTTCTCTATCTTTGTTGATAGACTTATAAGCAGGAAGTACCAATTTACCAACCTAATAAAAGAAACGTTTTCAGAAGACATGGAAAATTATTGATACATTACCACGATAGGCACGTGTGAGTGCAATACACCAACCTATCGTCTCAAAAGCACTCG